GTATTAAAAAATATTTCCTTTGACATTCCCAAATAGAAATAAGTTAAGAGCAAAAATTTATTTTTAAAACAAGTATGAACCAAATCGGACTCCTGTGCCACCTATCGGCAAATTTTTTTGTGGAGTTATTCCTTTTCATATATGTATGGAGTTAAGTATATTTACTAAATATGAACCAAATCGGACCATAAATACGGGTTTCCCAAATATATCGACTCCTGCGCCACCTATTGGATTATTTCATCTTTCATATTGCATTGTTATCGGTTTATGAGCAAAGTTTCAAATTTAAAGTCTCTAGCTCATCGGGAAGTTGGTGAAATATTGATTGCAAAATTCCAGGACATACAGTTTGCGATTTATTTTACTTCTTTGTGAGTTTTAAGAAAAATAAATATCCCCTAGATTTACAAGGGAATTTCCTTGGATTCAAAATTTTGGAAAATTAAAGCTTCTATATCTAAAACACAGTCAAAAAAAATCAAATTATTTATGAAACATTTTTTTTGTGCTTATTTATTAAGAAGTGTTTGTGGTCGAAACTCCACAAATCATGAACACAAAAATTCTAGTTATGAAATTACAAATTATCAATTTTTGACACAACGTAAGGAAGGGCGATGATCATTTCCGTATATTTAACTAAAAAAAATTTAATTGTGACGCATTGTTCCCGCAAATCAGCGATATATATTCAAAGTTACTCCATTAACCGCTTTTGGTTTTACGCCTTGTTCAACTTACGTCAAAGCATTTAACGTATCACTTATAAAATATAAATTATGTATTTAATAGGATTTTCAAGTCAATTCAAATGCTTTTAGTTTTTGATTAAAAAATTATAAAAGTAGTTTAAAAATTCAAAAATTCATAATTCGTCTAATATACATACAAACATATTCACATAGATACATACATATATATGAACATGTTTATACATGTGTGTAGCTATCATTTAGCGGCCTTTTAAAACCTCTCTCACACACGCATATAAATATGTATTTATTTTTAATCGCGTATTAATTCAATTTTCTAGCTTTTTATGGATTATTATTAAGCGCTAAAGCGAATTTTATGATTAATCAAATAGCCAAAAATCGAATATAATTTAGTAGAAATAGTAATGATAAAAATAAAAATTAAAATTGTCGCCAACCCACAAACAGAAACCAATGCCGACAGCTGAGCAGCCATACCTCCAGCAAACAGCCTGAGTTACAACAAAAGCGAGCCAATCGCCGCCAATGGAGAGTGCCTCATGCCGCACTGCGGACACGCGGACCGGTTCAAAACACGTGAATCAAAGAAAAAAAAGTTGATCAAAAGCTAAGCAAACAACATAGAAACATAAATGCATACATATGAACATATATGTATATGTATATGTCAGTGTGTAATCTGAAGATTGTTTATGGCGCATCATCGTCGTTAACTTTTTTATGCTCTTTTTGTGTCCGTTTAAATGCCTGCGCTCCCAAAATAGTTTCACATTTATAATTTTTTAATTGATTTTGAAGGCAATATTTATACATATGTACAACAAAATATTAAATGTGTTGCTTGTGCGGCTACCTATCATAAATAAATTTATACATATGTACATACCCACTAGAACTTGAAGGGAGATCTCCCTATGTGAGGAATAAAAGAGTACTCCCCTTAACCAGATTTCTGAGCAATAAGAGAGATTTGTCGGTTTTGTACTCCTTTATTACTCGTTTAGGAGTCAAATAAGAGATCTCCTAAGCGAGCGACGAAATAATGCTCCCTGAGGCATGATTTGGGAGCAGTAAACGAGATTTCTCGGTTTTGTACTCCTGTATTGCTCGCTTAGGAGCTTAATGAGAGATCTCCTAAGCGAGCAATTAAATAATGCTCCCTGAGGCATGATTTGGGAGCAATAAGCAAGATTTGTCGGTTTTGTACTCCGTTATTACTCGTTTAGGAGCAAAGAGTGATGTCTCCTAAACGAGAAATCAAAGAGTATTCTTTTTGATTGATAGGAGAGCAATACGCACCTCGCTCAAAAGAAATTTGTGTTTTCGAAAAAATTTATCATACAAAAAAAAAAACAACAGAAAATATTTCTTATAGAAGCATAAGGAGGACACAATAATTTAATTTGGATAGCACACAGATTTTAATAAAAGTCCGTTGGTATGCACTTCAATTTTTGTTTAAATATATTAAGTATGTAT